CGGCGCCGGATTTTCCCGGACATGTTTGGCTTTTTGGGATTTCCCCCGGACGGGGATTTGAATCCCAAAAAGCCGGACATGTCTGGGAAAATCCGGACGTATGGTAACCCTAGTTTAGCAGGCCAATGCTCAAAACACTGAGATGGTGATTAATTGTCCTCCAGGTCCACCAAAGGTTGGACAAGAAATAATCAGTTTAATCTGCAGCAAGCAAGATTTAGGTTGGCTATTAGGATAAACTTTCTAATTAGAAGGGTAGTTAAGCATTGGAATAGGCTTCCAAGGGAGGTTGTGGCATCCCCATCCCTGGAGGTTTTTAAGAACAGGTTGGACAAACACCTGTCAGGGATGGTCTAGGTTTACTTTTTCCTGCCTCAGAGCTAGATGACCTCTACAAGCCCTTTCCAGCCCTACATTTCTATGCTGAGTTCTGTAATCAAAATTCTAGTTTCTACCATTTCATCATAGGAGAGGCAAACCTATCAGGTCTCACTCCTTTAGAAGCAACAAGCTCTCTCTCTCTCACCACATTATTTTAAGCCACTTCCTAAACATCTCCCCTTCTGCCCACAGCATCCTGATTCTGTGTGTTTCAGTGAGATTTCAAACCTAGTTTAGGGCAATGTAACCCTCCAGCTTACATCCCACCACCCCCAGTGTTTCACTGACGAGCTCTAAACCACTAGCACAGTGGTTCTCAAACTTTTGTACTGGTGGTGACCCCTTTCACATAGCAAGCCTTTGAGTGCAACCCCCTCTAATAAATAAATAAAACCAAAAACACTTTTTTGTATAGTTAACACCATTATAAATGCTGGAGGCAAAGCGGGGTTTGGGGTGGAGGCTGACAGATCGTGACCCCCTGAGAACCCCTGCACTAGCAGCACCCGGGGGACTGAGGCTGTTGCCAAGGGGCAGTGGCGGACGCGTTCTCTTTCCCGCTGAGGGGATTTTGTTGCCTTCTCCCGATTTGCTTTGTAAACGAACATGCCCGGCCCCTAAACGGGAGCGAGAAGGGCCGGGGGCTCCCACAAAGGCCGTGCACGGGAAGGGGCAGAAGGAAAGGGGAGGGGATGGAGTGACCCCTCCTGTGCTGACCTGGGGGGCTCCTTTTTTCGTCTCTTGCCCCGGCCCGGGCCCGCCGCCGTGCGCCCTCCGCCTCGGTGCGTCGGGTACGGGCCGCCCCCGGGCTGAACGGAACCGGCCGCCTCTTCTGGATAGTGTTTCCAACCGGTGGGGTTTGGGTGGTACACGGCGGGCGGGAACCGAGAAGTCCCGGAGGTGCAGGAGCGGCTCCCAGCGCTGCCATCATGCCGTAGGTAGCGGGCAGGGGGGCAGGGCAGCCGGCCCGGGGGTATTGGTGGTGAGAAGGGGGCAGGTGTTGGGGGCAACGAGGCAGAGCTGGAGGGCAGGCGGTGGGGGCGGGAGGGGCCAAGAGCTGGGGACAGGATCTGGGGGCGAGGGGACAAGAGCTGGGGGGCAGAAGCTGGGAGACACGAACGCCGACTTGAAATCGAGCCTTAAGTCCCTTCCATCTGCACGTCAGCTTGGAAAGGGCTGTACAGGCTGTGGCCAAAACTTTCAAACCTGGCTGCTTAAAGTTACCAGCTAAATAAGCTGCCCCTTTGGGGGGAGGGTTCCCCTAGAGTCGCTGAGCCCCTCACAGATGCCAGTGTGTGTGAAGACACTTTCAAATTTGGGTGCCTTAAAGTTCGGCTCTTAAATAAGTGGTCATTCCCTGTAGCACCCCCGGCAGTTAAGTGTAGGGTGACCAGATGTCCCGATTTTATAGGGACAGTCCTGATTTTTGGGTCTTTTTCATATATAGGCTCCTATTACCCCCCACCCCTGTCCTGATTTTTCACACTTGCTGTCTGGTCACCCTAGTTAAGTGAGTCCTCAGCGCCTCTGAGAAGCAGGTTACTATTTAAGTGCTTAAAGTTAAGCTACCCCAGTTTGAAAATGTTAAGTGTTTCTACATAGAGTGCTACCAAAATTCAGCCATGAGGACTGCTACTAGCCCACATCTCACTGCACAGTAGCAGGGGTGGAAAAGGAGATTTTGATTCAGAACACCAGAGCAAATCCCTTACTTGGAACGTGGGTGGGATATTTCGTGTCAATGTGGAGCAGATTTAAAACATAGTTAATTCTGCCACAACAAACAGGAATCTCTGAATTTTTATTTGACTAATGTTTTCCTACAAACATCAGTTTTGTATATAATGTTCACCCAAAGGCGATTTTTTTTTAAGGCAAGGTTATTTTAGTAGGGGAGTTTTATTACCAGTCTTCCCACCCAAGTCACCTTGGGCGAGTCAGTTAACTTCTTTGTACCCCAGATGAAGCTGCTACTTATCTACCTCGGAAATGTGTCCTATTGCATGATTAATCCTTGGATAAATGGTGATGTAGAAGAACACGGTGGTAAAGTGCGTGTGACTTCTTCATGCCCATGAAAGTGAGAAAATGACAGCAGCTGCTTGAGATGTAATAGTGGTAGCTGTTGGGCTGTAACACCCACTATTGGTACTTCAGGTTCTAGTGGACAGCTACTCTGGGCTCTTCCTGGCTGCCGTTATAAGGGTTGATCTCCACTATACTATGCTTCCACAGATTTTTTTTCTACATTCTTTCTGTTTGAGTAGCTCTAGTTCCTGCTTCTCCTGTTGTTGGTAACTTCCCAACCAACAGCAGAGGCTTCTGAATACCAGTGGAGAAAGTGAATCAAGTCTTGTTAATTTCACTGCTGCTTAGCAAGGCTGTGAGTAGCAATAGAGGCCCTGCAGCAGTATGCCTGCAGACTTGGGCAGACAACACTGCAACCATTCACAGTCTGATCACAGATAGTTGTCTTAGCAACTATAGATTTTCTTTAGATTAGATTTTATATTTAATGAAAGCTTAAATTCTTCAGTAATTGATGACTTAGGCCCCAACATTTGTTAGTCAAGTCAAAGCTTCCTGTCGACCATTGGAAGTAGGTTTCTTCAAGCCCAAATTATGATTCTATTCTAGAACCTGAAAGAAGACAAGTGTGGCTTAAATAATTTGCGATCTCAGACAATAATCTTTCTAAACTTCTTATGAAATTTACGAGCCTTGGATTGCAGTACTTGAGTGCATTCCTCATTTTATTTCTTCCACATTGTCTTTTACATTTCAGTTTGAACCTGGAAAATAGTAATATTTTTTCTTCAAGCTTTCCCAGCTGATATGCCATTTTCCCCTTTAGTTCTTCCTGTTTCGCTAACATATGTAAATACCATCTAGTTATTTCTCTACTAAGAGCCAAATAGAGATTTTAGCAATGTGGCCAATTGAAAAGTCAATTACAACTAAAACATTGTGAAGTTTTATTATGTTGTCTTGCTGTGACATCAGAATGCATTGGGGGGGAAATTTTATAACCCACACTTGTATAAAAAGATGAAATACAGATTTCCTCAGTTTAAATGCTGTTTTCACACTGGTATTCAGGGTGGAAACTAAATAAAAGATTCTTTTGAGTGTATGTTTTTGTATTTCCATTAACAATGAGAGAGGTGTATTCACACTAAAAATATAACTTCCTTATTAAAGTCTTCATGCTGTCATTACTTAGAATAGGATTATGGTATAGTGCAGTGGTTCTCAACCCACGGCCTAATTAACACACAGCTGCGGCCCACCTCAGCTGTGTGCTAAAGGCCGGCCCGCGGAGTTCCCAACTGCCCAGCACGGTTGCATCCGGGCAGCCACCCGGCCCCGCAAGCTCCGGGGTTGGGCAGCTGCCCAGCCCTGCGTTGTGGGGGTCCGTGGTTGGCGTCTGGGCTGCTGCCCTGCCATCCAACCCCTGAGGCCCAGGTAACACATTGTGGGCCGCATATGCAGCCCACAATGATAAATAAGTTGAGAACCACTGATATAGTGGGATTTGAAGCTTGTGATTCAATCAGTGACCTCCTGTGTGACCTCTTTATACTTAGTTCCCTGCAATACTAATCACCTACCATACCACGTTTTTGTAAAACTTAATGTCTTTCTATAAAGTGAGTTAGAAAATAGTAAGGTTGAAAGTGTGTGTCAATGGAGTCTATATAACACCCAAAAATGCATTGTGATTTCCTCAGAATAAATTTTCCATTAAGCAATACAGACACTTCATCATGCCATATACTACTACTTCATTTATTACCACCTCATGCAAATACCTTTCCTCACTCATCTTCAATTTATTTCTTTTATAATTTGCTTAAATACATGCAAAGTTTAAAAAAAAAATCTTAGTGTACCAGGAGACTAAAATCTCACTTCCTTACCAAGGGCTAGATGGTGAAACCCGTACTCTCTCTGATGAGCAGTTACTCACATGAATATTTTCACTGAAGTAAATAGGAGTACTTTTGTAAGTAAATGCTCACCAGTGTTAGCAAGAGACTCTCAATCTGGCCTAAAGGGATTTTCCAATATGTTATAACAAACTATAGTTATAACTTTTTTTTAGATTGTAAATATTATGTGTAAAGTACCAATTACCAGTATGTATATACTTACATAAACATTCAACACCATCTACAGTGCACAATTAAGAAAACAAAATGAACTCTGTCCCTGGAGATTTTGGATCAACTTGAGGGTAGGGGTCTCAGGTAAATGAGCTCTTGTACACTGTAGCTTCATGTGCTTGTTTTTTCCTTCCTCTTCCCTACTTGTGCAGACTGACATTTACTACTGTCCTGGTGCTGTAGTAACTTTGTCCAGCCATGGCAGGAAGAGAGTTGGAACTAATGGAGGTGATGCTACCGCCCTCTATATCATAAAGTAGTGTGGGGTTCTCATTTCCACAGTTTAGATTGTGTTGAGCTTTCTCTCCTCTCCGCCATAGGCATCTTTTTGAATGTACATGGGAGGGAGGGAGATACCTGTGGCCCAGTGGGGCTCCTTTTTAATTTCCTAAATGAACTTTGTTTCAGAGCTTTTAGCCAAGGACAGTGGTTTGGACTTTAAGACCCCCAGTCTTACATGATCCTGACTGAATGATAGTTGATTAGTGATTTACCTGCCCCTCATTAGGGCAGCAGAGGGGATACTCTCAGGTGGGATAGAATCTAATGCTTTCACTGGAAAATGCAAGGCTTAGATGATCACAGAAGGCATTACGCAGCCTCTTCTGATGTAGAAGTACTCACGTGAGAATCTGCCTCTAAAGCTGCATAGCTCAAGGGGCTTATAGAGGTTCCACAGGCCAACAGAGGCAAATTTGGGCCGACTAGAACTCTTGCTTTACACAATATCTGACAGATTTTAAATAACATGGGGCTGACTATTCCACAACTTTTTCTCCGAGAAATTTCCCAAATCCCTATAATTTAGGATTTCCATGCAGTTTTTCATTTGACCTCATCATAAAGCTACCTCAAGTCCAGATTCTGCTGTACTTTGGCTTCCAGCTCCTTTTGAAGTCCATCATAAAAACTTCCATCATAACATAGAATCAGAAATGTAGGGCTGGAAGGGATGCCTTAGTATAACATGCAAATACATTGGCCCCCAGAGCACCCTAACCGAGAGAATGTATTAATGTATATAATGTTTTTCTGCTGCCACTGGGGTTGAAGATATAATGGAGTCTGCATTCCTTAAGCAACATGGGTCACTATATTAAAACAAAAACAAAAAACCCCACACACGTTGTAAAGAATTCCATCAAACTGTTACACCTTTGACTGTCCCTTGGCAAAAATTTGTTGGTTTTTTTTTAATATAGAAACTGTAAATCTTACATGTTTGGCTTTTTTTAATATAGTATTTTTCTATTATCTTTTTAAAAATACAGATAATTGTAAACCCGTGTTATCTCATACAAAAATATTACATGAATAATATTTCAAGATGCATTTTTAATTCATTTTTTGGATGCTTTCCCATTTGAAACTCAAACAGTGGCACACTCTAAACAAGGGTATATTTTAAATGAGGTCATCTTACTTGCTAATGAGTCAAAACAATCTTTTACAAGGTGAAATCTGTGCAGTTACATTTTGAAGTAAAGTGCATTTTCCAAAGCTTGTTTAATCCAAAATGAATGAGTAAAGTTCTTATAGAATGACTTTATAAAGATTTTTATAATTGTCTAGTTACTTTATATAATGCTTTAAGCTATTGTTTAAGAAAGCACTTAAGTTGCAGTTGTCTCTGGGTAAAATAGTCTTAATTTATGTTGACCTTTCTTTCCTTTGAGTATTTAGCCTGCATTCAATAAAATTTTGATGACTGCTCTTTAGAAGACAGCTGTACGATATAAGAATTATAAATATTCAGCTTTCCTTTCCTAGTGTTGTCATTAACAGCTGGGCATCCAGTTCAGCAGAGCAAATTTTGCAGAGAGAGTTTGGCATGTTCCTGAATCAGTATAGTGAAGAAGACTAGAAAATAGTTTCTTATGGTTTGGGGACTTGTAAAGACATAGAGCATCTGTTCCCCAGTTAAGTCATAGTCTGGCAGCATTGAATCATGTTAAGAGCTAAAATGATGGGAAGAACTACCTTTTTCACCTTGCTGTATCCATGTTTAAATACTTAATACATTATTTCTACTAATGGCAAAATAATTATAACATCTACCCAGAAGGTATGTAAGTTGGAGTGCACTTGTGTATAGTTATTTTAATTATTGGCATTTTGTTTGAAAGAGACTAATACCTGTTTTTTAATATATAATCTTGGTTTGAACTGGTAAATAGTGTAGAGGTGGATGTTTTTTAGTACAAACACTTGTGTTCCAGCTTCCAAAAAACCAACCTTTTTGTCCCATGTTCTTTGAATTAGTTAATAAATTTGCTGTATCTGAAATTATTTTCCCTAAAGTAGCATTTAATGCATAGAAGATTTAATGCATTCATAATTAGGAAAATATAATTCTTTTAAGACCACAGATAATGGATCTTATTACTAGACATTTTGTATTTGAAGGAGTGTAAAACTTGTCTGTCTTTTGCTTGCAGAGTTAAGAGAGCACTGAAGTTGGAGACCCTTGCAAAAGAAAATGTAAGTACTGTATTCAGTTTTGTGATTGGAATTATATGGAATTTACATAAATACACAGCATTTCATTAGGGTTATGTTATAGCAGATTGGCTGACAGTCTACAAAAGTCTCACTAAGGAGAAGAAGTGATTACTAAAAATCTTTGGCATGAAATTATTGTTTTTTGTATACATTTCCTGTCAATAAGTGAAGTATTTATCTGCATGAAGAAATTGGCTATAACTGGAGAAATAGGCATATTTTTGGTTACCTTCACTACTTGTCCAAGAGCTGAATGAATTAGGATCCTTGTTGAAAGCATTTATTAGAAATTAGCTCCATAATTGTGGAAGCAAATGTTCTGCCATCTAATTGTACATGTAACAATATGGAATTATGATAATGCTATAATCTTCATATTATAAGCTGCAAAATTGAAATGAAAACATTAAGAGCATTTTTATGTCAAGGATATAATTACATCCCTCAGCTAATCTGGCATAATGAAACAATAAAATACTAACGCTGCAATAAATTTCACCACAGTTATCACAATAAAAATAAAATTGTACTGTTGCTATTATTTTTTGTAAATGCAGCCATTGTATATTCCCAGTGCCAGCATGTCATGACATATGTCTGTTTATTATCCACCCGTACCAACAGTGGGTGTTGCTACAAACACTAACACGGAGGAGTTCATGAGGATGGTAGCCTTAAAGGGAAGGAAAATTAGTGGAAAAGTATATTAGAAAAAATAGCTGGTCAGTAAATGAGCCTCCGGTAAATCTCCACATGGCTATGTCATTTTAGAGAGATTTGTTTATATGTGATACCTATTGAGAAGTCTCATTGGTATTTAGCAGAATAGAAACTTGCAATTTTAAAAATTTGCTGGATACTTTTTTATTTAAATAAAGGTGGCAAAATACCGCAGTGGCACTAAAAAAAATCATTAGCAATTTAATTAGCAGTTTAGTGTACCATTACCCAACTTGTTCTGCGCAGAATGCAGCTGTGACTGTAATTTTGCATCTGTTTCTTGGGTCGGAGTAGCATTTTTGTGGTTGAGTGGTCCAGCCTGAAATTAAACACTGTTTTTTTCTACCCTAAAGCTGTTATTTTTCTGAGATGGGAACAAAAGTGTTTTAACAGAGAAGAATTGCATTTCAGACTAGACTCTCCTTTTGCAGCAAAATGACTATAATAAAAGCCCTTGTTTACATCAGCTTTTCAGAATATGATGGGTTAAAATATTCACTTGAAGTCGTTTCTATATTGGGGGGCTATCAAGTGTAATGTGACTATACAATAAAGTTTCCATTTATATGGCACCTCTCCTCTTGCACAGATTGCATCCCCATCCCATACTGCTGCTTCTCCTTTGTCTCCCGGGGCCATCTCTATGGCCACAAAATGCCAAACGTCTCCCAATATGCCCTCACCTGATGTGACCTCTGCTTCTGTATATAAAAAGTCATGAATGAGTAGTTAAAACTGTGTAATATTGATATGACATCATAAGGATTTGCCCAGCTGAAGAGAAACTCTGATTGCCATAGAGGTATTACGCTGATTGCCACAGAGGTTGTGTGCTGCAGTAACTCTCTTCCCAGGTAGATGCTCAAAGGAGGCTTCCTTCATGTCCAGAAGTATGGTGGCTGCAATGTCAGGCATTCAAGGTTAAACAGAGAGGGCCCCTTGAGGCTTCAGTGGGGATGCACAGGATCTCCATATTGCAAAACAGAGTGGATGTAGGTTAGATGCCTAATGTACCATTGGTAGTGTTTTGTAACTAACATTTCTCTGAAAAACTGTCTTTACTGGCAGTAATGGGCTCAGTTCATCTTAATGTGGCAAAAGGTTAGCAGTAGGGTAGCCCAAGGTTTCCTACTAGGACAGGGGTTGTTTAAAATATTAATAAACTGGAAATAAAGGATGCAAAGATGATATAAAATTATTAAATCTGTAGATGATACAAAATTATTTAGGCTACTCAAAATAATGGAGAAGATTGAGTAATTCAGAGGTATATAGGAAAGCTAGATGAATGAGCACCAAATCAAAATTCAGTGTTAATATATACAAGATAATGCAAACTGGAAGAATGAATTAGATCAACTCATAAAAATTGCTGTATTATAAACTAACAGTAACTGCTCAGAAAAAAACCCTGTGTATCACTGTGGGTAGTTCAGTGAAAACTTCAGCTCAGTCTGCAAAGGCGGTCAAAAAAAAAAAAAAAGGGCAAACAAAATGTTAGAATGCATAAGGACTGAGATAGAAAGCACTACTTAAAATATGAGGCTATTCTATAAAACAATGTTCCATCATCTGAAATTATGTCCATTTCTAGTCACCCTGTTAAAAAAGGAATTACAGAAAGAGAAGGGGTCCATATCCAGATAGTGAAAATGATGAGCGGCATGGAAAGGCTTTCGTATAAAGATAGATTAAAAGATTGGGACTGTTTAATTTAAGAAGATGAAGAAGAGGGGGCAGGATAGAATGTTATTGGGAAGGAAAATTGAGCGTTCTTATTTATCCTTTCCTATAAAACAAGAACAAGAGGACAGTCAATGAAATTGAAAGGCGGCATATTTAAAACTGAAAAGGATTTTTTTTTCTTACCCCGCACATAATTAACCTGTGGAATTTAACCTCACCAACAGCTGCGGGCAAAGAACTTAGAAATAAATAAATAAATAGACATTAATATGCATAATGAGAATATTCATAAAAAGCTACACGGTGGAAAATATAGGGACATAAACCCGTATGTGTCTGTCATAAACCAACCACTGATTGCCTGGAGTTAGGAAGAAACTTCTCCTATGGGCAGGTTGCTACATAATTGACCATTAGGCATTTTGGTACACACCCATCCTCCTTTTTTCATGGTTATTGTCTCTGTAGACTTGTGACAACAAGGATGCTCCCCATAAGAAAGTATCCTTGTCTGAAAAACATTTAGAATCATGTAAATATATAAATATTAACTAGTTGATAGTACACGTTATTCTACCCACTGCTGAAATGTAGCCGCTTCTCTATAAATATGGGGGAGGCAGGGAGCAGCAGAAGTGTCTTACCGCCACCTTTGTGCCCTCCTGATCTTGGGCTACTTGAGGGCTGAAGAGGCCCCATACATAACTTAGACTTAGTACTTTCTCCTTAGACTTTTGTGTAGCAGCCCTGCCCCCAAAACAACCCTCCTGCTCCCAGCCTTGCCCCGGTACAGCTCCTATGCCAGTGCATGCAAGACGTTCCTGCACTGGGGAATTCTCCCTTGGCTGGGTCATGGGCTTTCAGGGTATGTCTATATTGCAGCTGGGAGCGAGACTCACAGCCCTGGTAGACCGACTTGAGGGGCTTGAGCTAGCGTGCTAAAAAGAGTCATGTGGACGTTGAAGCTCTGGTGGAGACTCAAACTAGCCACCTGAGCTCAAGTCTAGGGGCTTGAGCTTGGGTGACTAGCTCGAATCTCTGCTGGAGCCACAATGTCCATACAGCTGTTTTTAGCACGCTACCACGAGTCTGTCTGCCTTGGCTGGGAGGTTCACACCCAGGTGCAGTGTAAACGTATCTCTGGAGCCCTTTACACTGCTCTGGAGTCAGGGTGAGGTGAGGTTCTTTCCCCAGAAGAACATTTGTGCACAGCAACATTGAACAACATTCAGGATAAAAAGTAAGGAATACTATATTCATTTGAAACTGCAGGGAAATTTAGGTAAGCAAAATACAGATAATCAAGTTGAAATCAGCTAGAACACTACGTAAAGTATCAGAGGATCTTTAATGAGCACAAATGGGGAGGACTGTGATTTTACATTTTATCCATGGTGTCAAAACTGTGTAATATTCATATAGCCCTGTAATTATTTTTTCTATCATTAATGTATGGTGCTTAACTGAAGAAATTATAAACACGATTAGTAAACTAATGTGTGAAATTGAAGAAATGTTCTGAGTAATACACAGAAAAAACACAGATTATAGATATTGAGTTTTGTGGTGTATAGTACATTGTAGTGACAGGAGAGAAGCCTGCTTCCTATTTTGTGAGCTGTTTTTATATTTGTGAAAGTGTGGATTAACAAAGTTAACTTTCTAAACTAAATGTAACAAAACAACAAAAATGACAAGAAGTACCTTTGGTTTTTATTCTGCTTTTCTGCGAAGGTTTCTTTCTGAAAGCTCTTGTTTCCAAGGAGAGGAAAAAGTTGTGAAATACCTACATGTGGTATTTTTAATGGCTTAAAAATTGAATATGAGAAACTTTTTCAGTAAAATATCTATGGGGGAAAAAATGGCCTTAGCCAAAATGTCCCTTTCTCTTCACTATTCCAGCACCTGTTGTGCACCAGTCGATTTCCATCTTTTATGCCAGCAATGTGTACAGTAGAGATATCTTGCCTGGTGACTTGAGGTCCTTTGGTATGAAAGCTGCTAGATAGAAGGGAAATATTATGCAAATCTTGAAGCTGGGCCTTCCAGTTGGTTCAGTGTTTCATTCTTATGGCCCCTTGTTCAATTACTGGGTCAGCTGGTTACTTATTTTACTTTGAAGTTGTCAATATATGATTGTGTGTTGACTGTTACACATGTTGCTTAATACTTAAAATTCAGTCAGAGGTAAAAACTGGTGGTTGCTGTACCATTTGAAAGTGTCTAGGGGCTTTATATCGCCCCTAAGGATACAAGGGTGAAATCCTGGCTTTAGTGAAGTGGGAGGCTTTCTTTTTAGTGTTGTTTGAGTTTGATGGTGTCTTTGTATGTTTCCTTTTTGACCTAGTCATTACTGATGTTACTTGAAGCTGCTAATTCTTCCTTAGTAAGATGTAAATCATCATCAGAACTTAGGTCCTTGATGTACAGGCAGATTCCTAATTTCTTGTGTAGCGGTAATGCAGTGTAGCTCAATTTTTTCAGGGTTACAGTTTAACATCTGATCCAGGAAGCAAAATGTATACAGTAGAACCTCCATTCCCAAGCTGTTTGTAACTCTGAGATTCTACTGTACCAGTGACTTCCAGTCAATGTGTTTTCTTCTAACACTTGCAAAAATATTGACCACTAGTTTGGTACACAACTCCCTTTAGGTTCGTAATCACATGACTTTAAACTAGAGACTTAATTTTGGTTTTAATTGACCTCTGCTGTCTTAACACTGATTTTTCTTTTGTTTTTAGGAAATCAAACACTTGATAAAAATGGCTAAAAATAAGCTAAATCTTTAGTGGAACAAAAAGTCTAAAAATTCTGACCATGATTTTTAACCATAACGAATCCTGGTTAGAAAGGAAAGTGCATGCCATAGTAACATCAAATTAACTTATTTTTCCCAATAAAATTAACTTTTAGACTACCTGCTCAAAAGAGCACTTGGCACTCAGTTTAGGCAACTATATCTCTAGGTACCTTGCAAGTTGGACTTGTGTATGAAAGCTGAGAGGTTGACATCTAACAGCTTAATTTGCATGTTTAAGTGCTGTCTGCGTGTACATTTGGGGATGTTCGTAAACGGGGACACTGAAAATTGGGAATCTCTTTGAAAATACGGTTACAACTTGGCCTATACTGCTTGATTAAACATTAGCAAATTGGGCCATTTTAAGACACTGTATGCTGACTGGTTCTGGGAGCAATGTGTAGTCCGCCTTAACAGGAAGTGTGGAGGCTGTAATTGTGAAGCATTGAGAATGGAAATTGGAGGGAGGGATTGGAATTGTCAGGGTTACATAAGGGGTATGGAAGGACCTCCCTATGAACCAACATTTATTTATTCTTTTTTTTTTTAAAACTTTGTTTAGCCACATGACGCAACACCTTTGAAGACCAGAAAGAAAAATTTAAGCTCATATTCACCAACAACAGGAACGTGCCAAATCAGTGCATTTTCATCTCCCACAAGTCATAATGTACAAAAGCTCGGAAATGGTCTATCAAATGGTTAGTTGAACATTCTCTTTTACTTATTGCAAAAAATTTCTTGTTATTGGTTAAATCAGGGTCTTGATTTAGTAATTTATGTCTCATCTGGTATGTCTGATTTCTTTTTTCTCTTAAGGAGTTCTGAATTTTATGGTGAAATCCAACATTTTTAGTGCTCTTATCATATAAATGTAAGCTTTTGAGGTAATTATGATGACTGTCCTGTAGAAGGCTTTTCTTTTCTTTGTTCAATATAGAACCACTAGCATGTGTGGGGGCAACTCCATTCCTTCCTGGAATTAAACCAACTTTTGCCAACAATGAAATTTTGCCCAACCTCTCTCCAACTCCCAGCTTTCATTTAAAGTGACAGTGTGTACTACTTTTCTGAATTAAAGGGAGCATATATTTTGGAGTTGCTGCATATTACCTGAGAATGTTATAAAAGAAATCATGTTTTAATAATTTGGAAGGCAATGTAATCTAGTAGTTAGAATAGAGGAGCTATATTCCCAGTTCTACCACTGAGCGTGGGCAAGTCATTTAACCTTTTCTATATGTCAGTTTAACTGTCAGTAAAATGGGTGTAGTACGTGCTTCTCTTGTGGGGGTTTTGAGTCTTTATGCATATTGGAAAGGTGCTTTGGTATCCTCTGATCAAAGATGATATAGAAGTCAGGGTGGATTTGAAGTCAGGAAGACTCGATTTAATCATGGATTTCTACATAAAAGTGCATTCTTGTTAGTTGTTATATCCTTAATACATATTCTTCACAACTCAGAGATAGATGAGACCCAAACTGGGTCTCTTTTACGGCCTGCTGCCATTATAGATTTTCCCTTCTAGTGAGAGAATGGTATGGTAGATCTCAAATCAAAGAAGGCTACCCTCAGAAAGACCTCAAGACTTCTGGAATATGCTGCTCAAACAGTTTCAGTTTTGTTTCTACTGCCTGTCCCTCCCTTCTCACATTTATCTCCAGACTTCTTCTCCTTGTCCAGATCTATTCCGCCCCCAACAATCTTCTATTCATTGAACTTTTTTGAAACTTTGCACTTTTAGATAGAGGTAAGGGATTGACTCTGTCTACACAAATTTGCAGAGAGACAATAGGGTTGAGGTCTGTTACACTGCTCTACAGCCAAAATGCTTCTGAAATAAATGTAGTCAAACTTTACTAATTCTGGGTCACTGAGAACGAAAATAATGCTTAAAATTGTTGATTGGCTCTAGTTTTCAAGATATGCTATTGGGTCAGTATATACGATCCTTGACTTGGGAATGGCGGAGGATAAGTGAGTTATAAAGGGAAGGGATCTCAATTTAAACCAGAAATGACTAAAATACATCATTGACTGGATCTATGAATAAATCTATGACTGGGTTTGGACAGTACTTGCTTTTTAGGCAAAACAATGAATGATGCAATCTGAAGCTGGTATCGCGTCATACATGATATGAATTGCATCATGTTATTCCTAGAAGTCATGGATGATGCAATCATAACGAAGCTTACATCACTCTGCTGAACAAATTGCCCTATATCAACTCTAGAAATCATACAGTGTCGTGCTCTCTTATTTGTCAGTGTTTGATTTTGCAACAGGACACATTTCTGTTTAGCCAAAGTGAGCAGAGATGCCTCGTACTTGTGTGAACAGTGCAGATAACTTCTGCTATGTTGGTGGTGAAGTGACTTTTGCATCACAAAAGCGCAGTATAACCACTGTAGTTAAGAAAGCCTATCACCTTTATTTTGGCTGCAAAATTGGAGATCAGGACAAGAGGTGGGCCCCACACATATGCTGCAACACTTGTGCAACAAATCTTCGCCAGTGGTTGAACAGGAAAAGGAAATCTATGCCTTTTGCAGTGCCAATGATTTGGAGAGAGCCAACAGATCATACCAGCAATTGTTACTTCTGCATGGTGCCTCCAGTTGGGAAAGGTGTGTCAAAGAAGAAAAAGTGGACTGTGCATTATCCAAACATTCCATCAGCTATACGTCCAGTACCCCACAGAGAAGGACTGCCGGTTCCTGAGGCACCAGAATCATTCTCACTTGAGTCAGACGAGGAAGAGGATGAAACTTCTGGTCCTGAACCATCAATGTCACAGGACCCACATTTTCTCCCATCCTCCTCCTCTGAACCACACCTCATAACACAAGGTGAACTAAATGACCTTGTCAGGGATTTGGAACTACCCAAGAGTAAGGCAGAGCTGTTGGGCTCCAGACTACAGCAGTGGAATTTCCTTGCAGATGATGTTAGGGTTTCCATGTTCCGTGACCGTCAAAAGGATCTTGTCCCATTCTTCTTCATGGAAGGTGATCTTGTAGCCTGCAACAACATCGATGGTGTGATGGCAACCCTCAACATCGTTCACGATCCAGATGAGTGGAGACTGTTCATTGATTCATCGAAGACGAGTCTTAAAGCTGTTTTACTGCATAATGGCAATGTTTTGCCATCAATTCCAGTTGGTCATGCAGTCCATATGAAGGAAACCTATGACAACATGAAACAACTTTTGAGGTGCATAAACTATGACCAACATCAGTGGCAGCTTTGTGGCGATTTGAAGATTGTTGCTCTCTTGCTTGGTCTGCAGATTGGATACACAAAGTACTGCTGTTTTCTCTGCGAATGGGATAGTCGTGCAAGAGATTCCCACTACATCAAGAAAGATTGGCCACTCCGACAGTCATTGGAGCCTGGGAGGAAAAGTGTTCAGCATCCACCACTTGTTGAATCAAGGAAGATTTTGTTACCACCCTTACACATCAAGCTGGGTCTGATGAAGAACTTTGTCAAGGCCATTGACAAAACACAAGCAGCTTTCAAGTACCTCTGTGGAAAATTTCCAAGGTTAAGTGAAGCTAAGATAAAGGAAGGTGTCTTTGTTGGTCCTCAGATTCGTGAACTTCTTCGAGATGATGCATTTGACCATGCACTGCCTGGCAAGGAAAAGACGGCATGGAAAGCCTTCCAATAAATTTCCTCGGAAACAACAAGGCAGACAACTACAGGTTGTTGGTGGAAAACCTCCTCAAGGCATACAAAAGCCTTGGTTGCAACATGTCACTAAAGATACATTTTTTGCACTCGCATCTAGATTTTTTTCCACCGAACTGCGGAGCAGTGAGCGACGAGCACGGCAAGTGATTTCACCAGGACATTGCAACAATGGAGAAACGCTATCAGGGCAAATGGAGCCCATCAATGCTTGCAGACTATTGCTGGACAGTGACAAGAGATGCTCCATTTAATGAATACAAGAGACTAGCCAAGAAGCGCCAAGTAGACACTGAATAGGACTAAACTATGTACAGAATAGTTTTTTGCCTTTTGTTTCATAATAAATTTTATTTTATATAACCCTTTTGCTGATTTTTAAAGTGTTACATAAACAGGACAGGTGAAATATTATCATGTAAAGCAACCATAAACACATGAAAAGACCTAGGTTTACAATTTATGATTAAAACTCTACTATCTACACAATATACATAGACATAAAATGTAAAAACTTAAATATCTTAGAAACAGTAGCCAATCAGTTGTTTTAATTGTCATATTTGAATTCAGCACATCAAAATACATAATAAATAGCACATTTTATCTCTGAAGCAGACGACTTCTCAAAAATTGTAGACCAGTGTTATTTCTCACCTCTATATATTATTTATTTATTTAAAAACATTTTTGCTGTTAACAAGCATGTTCTCTCTGGAGACACAAATCCCCAGTTTGAGAACTGCAAAACTAAGCATCTCTGATGGTATCTTCTAGACTGAGCACTGAATCCCATTGGGTAGATAGACAGATTAACCTAAATAATCTATACAGAAGCCCCTGGAACCCCATAAGATTGGGTTCCTAATCCATGAACTATTGGAACTCATTTACAAAACTTTTCTTAAACATTACATGAATATATTGTCTCATACTCTAGAATTAGAATTTGTAATCCCTATTCCATGATGAGATATCTTTGAGCTATAATGTATCTTAATTAAAACTATTTTTAGATAGGTTTTTTCCTCAAAAAACATTTTATCAAAAAATCCGATTTAAATAAAAACAAATCTGATTTTTTTTATTTAAAAAAAAATCATTGATTTTTATCCACCCTGATAGAAGTACAGTTAATTAACTCTACTCCTGTGCTTTCTTTCATGTATCTGCTGGCTAGGTAAGTGGTGTAGGGTTTTGGTTTTGTGGAATATTGGTCCACCTTTTGTGGGGAGTAGGGGCTGTTGGATGGCCTCCACCTTAGGGGACTGGCAGACTAGAGTATTCAGAAGAGTGTTAAACTAATAACAAAAGGGAAGGGTAAAAAAGAGAGAAGATGTGAGCACTCAGCAAAAAATTGAGATGCTCAGAACGAAATCAAGAAGCCTTAGGACATGAAGAGAAGAAATTCTTGAATTGCCTATGCTAAGAGCAACGCTAGGAGCCTGGGTAACAACAAGAGGACCTGGAATTGCTCATTTACTAGCATAAATTTGATCTAGTTGGTATTTCTGAAACCTGGTGGGATTATTTGCATGAATGGAAAGTTAAAATCAATTATTATCACCCATTTAGGAAGGATCAAGTAGGCAAAAGGGGAAGGGGAGTGGCACTGTATGTCTGAAACGACATTACCTGTTTCTGAGTCCCTGATAACTCGCAAGAAAATGATCTTGACTGCTTATGGATCGATTCCCTAACAGATCATGTACAAGATGGGGTATTAGTTGATGTCTGCTACCAACTATCAGATCACACTAGGGAATAGGATGATCACCTCCTTATGCACTTATCTATAGTGTATAGGGGAAAAAACTGTGTGATCATAGGGGACTTGAATTTGAGTGACATATTTTGAAAGTCTCATGCTGCAATTACTAAAACATCCTTGGAATTTCTAAACATTATAGATGTTTCTTAACTCTAAAAGTGTTGCGGCCAACATGGGGGAATTCTTTATTAGACCTTGTTAGTTTGACGGGAACTGATCGCAGAACTAA